TCACTACGGAAGTAGATTGTCCAACCTTCCTTCCGAGGAGTGGCTGGGGGGTTTGAACCGCCAGCCTTCTGGTTAGCAGTCAAGTGCCTAGCCACTATGCTACCAGAGCTCCTGACAACAATTTAGCTTGTTTCTGCCCAGTCTCGAACCAGGGAGCTTTCGCATGTTAGGCAAACGTGATAACCACTACACTATGGAAACCTGCTTCTACCTAATTATTATTCTGTTTTACATATGAATTAACCAAGGCTCACAGAAGTATGTATGAGTCCCCTATAGCTGGCATCCTCTCTTTCATGTCCCATTGGAAGATATTCCTTAACACATTTTGGGACAATATGGATAGAATAAGAAGGAAATTTAGCCTCCAGCCCCTCTCAGCCTGTTTCTATGGTTCTTCCTGGTTTCCTCCTGCTGCCCAGTGGCCACTTTGGCTACCGAAGGTAGCTCTGGCACAAATGACAATGGTACCATGCGTTCTCTTAATATCAATAGCTCCTGGAGTCATGGTCTCTCCCCTAAACCCATTCTGAGCCACTAGAGAGTATTCTGGAAGGGTTGGCCATGAGACCTCTAGGACCAGTTCAGGTCTAACATTTGTGGTGATTCACCACAAGCACTGGGGATGGTTTAGGGCCTTTTCTACTGAGCCTATCAGGGCCATACTCTAGGAAACAGTTGGCCCCCATTCATCACTCCTTTCTCCATTAACCGAATGCCATTAGCTCAATGCACCATACCACTAAGATCTATTTCTACTTGGTAGTCAGAAATTTATTCTTACTCACTATGTGCCATCTATATTCCTCATCCAAGAAAGTGTTAGGACCCTTACAAGTGGTATCATCTGTTCATCAGATTCACAAATGAAAATTGCTTGCAATTTGCCAATTCACTTGAGTACATCATGTGAGTATTCAGAATGCAAAGCAAAACAAAGGCATAAAGAAGACAATAGAAATCTCCATCTTATAAATATGCACATATCTTAATAAAAGCTAAATAAATCCAATCTTACCTTGATGATTTTTCTCACAGAAGGTTAACTTGCTTTAAAAAAAAAGAAAAAGAAAAGAAAAAAATGAATTCACAGAAAACAAATTAAGCATCTATTTTAACCAAAGCATTTTTCCTCTTGTTGAGCAGTTTATAGAATTGCTCTTTAATCCTCAGGTGAAAAGGTTTAAAGTGACACATCCAAAAGTGAGTTAGGAGTTAGCCTCCTGAAAACCCCAGCCCACAGCTAGTCTGAAGGACTTGGGCTCATCTTAGAGAGAGTTCTCCTGTCTGGGTGCCCAGGCAAAGAGTGAGGTGACAGTCATCGAGCTCTGGTAGCATAGTGCTTAAGGCACTTGACTGCTAACCAGAAGGCTGGCGGTTCAAACTCACCAACCACTCCTCGGAAGGAA